GTATTTCTCAATCTTAGTTTGATACAAGATTTTGCTTCTAAGATTTTGAAATAATGTCCCAACAATGACAACTCTAAAATATTTTCTCTTTCAGGGTGGGCAATATCCCCTCTACCTTACCCATTCTTCCCTTCTTTTTCATCTCAACAAAATCTTGGTAATTTAAGGCCATCATACTATAATCTGTTACATTTTCCTTGCTTATAGGAACAGAAATATCTTCCTTGAACCCAATTACCAACATTACTTCAATATTGAAGTTTCAGCAGCGTAATATTAATACTTTTTAAAATATACTATCTTGGCTGGGTGCAGTAGCTCACACCTGTAATCCCTGCATTCTGGGAGGCCAAGGGGGGAGGATTGCTTAAGCTCAGGAGTTTGAGACATGCCTGAGTAACAGCAAGACCCTGTCTCTACAAAAAATAGAAAAATTAGCCAGCTGTGGTGGCAGACAGTCCCAGCTGCTCGGGAGGTTGAGACAGCAGGATCACTTGAGCCCAGGAATTTGAGGTTTGCAGTGAGCTATGATGACGCCACTGCACTGTAGCCCAGGCAACACCAGGGAACAGAGTAAGAACCTGTCTCCAAAAAAAATAAATAAATAATAAATAAAAATATATATATATTTTATATATATATTCATATATATATTTTATATATATGTATATATAGCTTATAGCTTATAAAAGACCCACATTATCACATTCGAGCCTCTCAATAAACCTATGATGTAGGTATCATCTTCTTTTACAGATAAAGAAATAGAGGCTGTGAGAAAATCTGTCAATTGCCAAAGTAAAGGTATTGTGATCAAGTTGGGACAGGTCTTCTGACTCTAAGTGTTTTGACCTATTCACTGTAGCCCACCATCCTTGTGAAGTAGAAGGGAAAAAACAACTTAGCACAATCTCAGAACCTCAACTGTTTTCTCAAAACTGGGCTAAAGATTTTCCAGTGAGTAAACTCAGTTGCAGCCAAACTAAATGCTGCTCCACAGTCAATGAATGTAATAAATGGACTTTGTCAAGAATGTGCATGACTAAGGAATCCCCCCTTTCGTCCTGCTTTTTCAAAGCTCAAACTTTACTCTTCAGAGTGTCAGTTTTACAACAGTGCTAATGTATTGCTTTTAAATGAAATGGAAGACAGATATTTTGGCCATGGAAGATTTACATGTCACAGCGAAGGTTACCAACATTCACAATGTCTTCCTTCACAAGAACAGCAGATTAATCAACTAAATATTAGCTAACAACCATGTTATTGCTCTCTAAAGGGAACTCTAACTGTAGAACATTGTAACAAATGTTCTTCTAATCAGATATATAATCCTGAAGTGAAACAAAATCATACTTTGAGAAAGAGGATTTTAACAGGATAGAGATGCCACAAAGATAGAAATAACTACTTAAGATATTCTAACCACCTAACAATTTCATTCCCACTTTAAAAGAATAAAAATTTCACTACCAGAAAAAAAATTAGAAAATAAAATTTAAAAACAAAAATAATAAATAAACAAATTTTTTTTAATTCACTATTCACAGTGCCAGGGAAATAGCTTAATCCTGGAGATAGATGAGCTTTAAAAGCTATACTAGAAATTTAAGAATGCTAACAAAATATTTCAGGCATACCAAAAAGCATAACAAATACCCATGCACTACCACCAGCTTAAGCAGCAAAACATTACAAATACAACTACAGCCCTGTAAACTCCTTCCAGATTAATTTCTCCTTCATATCTCCTTAGAGGTAATCATTATCCTGAACTGGGTGTATGTCTTTCCCACATGTTTATTTTTTACTACATATGTATGAATCCATAAACAATAATAGTAACACTGTCTTATGATGATTTTTAAATTTTATATATTTTGAATACATAATACCTGCACCACACACACAATTCCACAGTACAAATGCATATACAGTGCAACATTTTCCTGCTACCTAGTTTCCCCTCCCTGAGTAAGGAATGTAACAGTTTTTCCTGAATATTTAAAGAGACACACTATACATACATAAGCAGTCACACTTAGATACATATTTGCCCCCATCTTTTATACATAAATGTAAGGCATACACACTACCATGTTTCCCCGAAAATAAGACCTACCCACAAAATAAGCCCTAGCAGGATTTCTAAGCATTTGCACAATATAAGCCCTACCCCAAAAATAAGACCTAGTGATGGACATGGCTACGCAGTATATTTGCACAACCCATTCATTTTGTCGCAGAGTGGTAAAGAAGACCAGCAGCCCTTCTCATCTGCCCCATGAGAGCTCTATTGCTGGACATGAAAGATTGGGGCCAATGGTTCTAAAGGAAATAGAGTCACAAGAAATTCAGGATGGAATTCGAGGTTTGGAGAGTTATGATGATGTTCCAGAAGATGACTTAACTATATTTGAATAAATGTAGATTGTTATACTGTACTTAAAAAATATAACACATCCCCTGAAAATAAGCCCTAGGGTGTCTTCTTGAGGAAAAATAAATATAAGATCCTGTCTTATTTTCGGGGAAACATGGTATACACACTGTTCTACTTTTTCCTCTTAAAAATATACCTTGGAAATTGTTCTCTAAATTATATAAAGTTCCTCCCTTTTTTTCCTTCATGTTTGCAAGGTATTTCACTATGTATATAAGCTATAATTTAACTATTATACTATTAGAAAAGTTACTTCCAATCTTATGTATTTATAATAATATGGTGATGAGTAACACATTATTTGACACACACTAGTACATTTACAGACTAAATTCCTAGAAGTTGAACTGCTGGGTTAATTTTTATAAATACTGACATAATCTATGGAGGTGATACCAATTTTTACCCCCACCAACAATGTATGAGTCATTTTGCAAGTTTTTAAAATTTTTATAAATAACATTAAATTGTAAGTATTGCACAACTTGCTTTTGATGCTTAACCTTACATTCTTGAGATTCACTCATGCTGATATTATGTAGCTCTAATTCGTATTTAGATTTTTTAAAATAATTCCTACTGTGATTCATTCACAAAGAGAACTGTCACCTATTTACCTGAAATTACAGTTTTACATAGAAATACTCACTAACTCAATACATAGGTTATATGTACACAACTGATTTGAAGACACATCCATCCCACTACAAAGACCACCTTCTCTAGGAAAACTAACAAAAACTGCCTTTTAATTTACTGTAATAACATGACTTTGTTCATCCATGCTTTTAAAGAGATTAGGGAAGCCTCACAAGGCATGGACACTAACATCTTTACAACCAAGCCACGTGCCTTTGCTCACTCCTGTAATCGTAGCTACTCAAGAGGCTGAGGTAGGAGAATGGCTTAAGTCTAGAAGTTCAAGGCTGCAGTAAGCTATGATCATACCACTGCCCTCAAACCTGGGTGACAGAGCAAGATCCTATCTCTTTAACAACAACAACAAAAATCTTGACACACAGAATGAAAAAGAAAAAGATACCTTGGAAATAATAAAGATAATTCAAGCATAATCTCAAACTAATCCTAGTTTTCTGTTTAAACTTTTCCCTCAAAATGTTACCATTAAATAATTAAAGGAATTTTTTTTAGCCTGTAATATGAAGCAATCACTATTAATTTATAGTCCTTGCCCCCTAAAAATTAAATTTCCTGTATGCATGGAATATCATACTGGAAATTTTTCTGAATATCAGTATCATAATCTTCCTTAATGTTTGCATACAATTTCTATCCAATGTATATAACTAATTTTAAAAGCTCTATTCCAAATTGTCTCAATTAAAATATATGACTAATCCTATTATTTATAAGAATTCTTGTGAAATTAAGATTGTTGGTGTTAGTTACCAACATCACCACTATAGTAGCTATTTTTGCCTATTCACTGAGCATCCATGTCCCCCTTTCTCTACCCTAACAATACCCATTTCTGTGTAGGTGTCTATCCTGTCTCCTCTTACTATCCAATTACTGCCCTATAGACTGGGTGCAGTGCCTCACACCTGAATCCCAGCACTTTGGGAGGCTCAGGTAGGAGGATCACTTTGGGCCAGGAGTTCAACACCAGCCTTGGTGACATAGCAAGACTTCTTTTCTACAAAAAAATAAGAAAAATTAGCTGGGTGTGGCGGCACACGCCTGTAGTCCCAGCTACTAGGGAGACTGACGTAGAAGGATTGCTTGAGCCCAGGTGTTCAGGACTACAATGAACTATGATTGTTGCTACTGCCTGATTAGGAACATAAAAGCCTAAACCAAATGACACATGGCATCCCTACCCAGAGGGACTAGATGAGCCAGTGAAACTCATGAGAGGTATGCTGGGCCTCCTGGCTTTGGAGAGAGAACCATAGATATGTTCTTGGCTAAGTTGAGTTAGATTTTCTATTACTTGTGGCAAAAAGCATCCCTACTGTTAAACAACTTAAAAAAATGAACTGGTTAAAGATTTTAACCACCAACATTGGCAAATGTGTTTATGAACAAACATAACCATATCCATGAAACCTGTGATCCTCTAATATTGGCCTTTCTATATTTGAGATTGTTGACTTTACAGAGTATGGTCCTTCAAGAGAAGCAGGGGGATGGGTGAAGAAGTGAAGGTTAAGAAACAGCTAAGTCACTGGAGAGATTCATGTCACAGCCATATCACAGATCAAATCCAGCAGATGAAAAATTCTTTCTTGCTTTCCTATCTGCTATGCCAAAAACCACTCAGCAAATAGACCTGACTTCACTCAGGTCTATATTAGGGGAATAATGAATATCATAATCCAAGCAGTAAGAACTCTAGGAAGGGATGGGGGCATTAATGAGCATTTTTTTTTACAAATACTTGCAAACTAAAAAGCAGTCTGAAATTGCTAACAAGAAATAACAAAGCCAAAAATAAAAACCTTTAAGGGGCACAGAAACATTTTACTGGCCTATTATGGGCCCGCCCTAGTAGCTGTTATTGCCCTATTCTGGCATGTGTTTCTTACTTCCTTACATTGTTGGCCTTGCTGATTTTCACAAGAAGGTTTAGGCAGTTGCTTCCCTGTGGGCTATACAGCAATTTTCCAGTTCTATGACTCACAAAGGGCAAGAGAAGGAAGGGTTCTCCTCTTCCAACCCTAGATAAAATCAGAAAATGTTTATTTAGCTCTGGAACAGCAAGGCTCAGTTAATTCACTGTACAGACTTTCACAAACTTTCTTTCTTTCAAGTCAAATATTTACCAGGAACTTAATATATGTAAGCCATAGTCTATCATTTATCCAAAGCCAATGCATGAATTATTTTTATCAGTTCCAAACTTCCTTCCTCTACATCCCCAATAACAAAGTCAAATATTTTAAATAAAAAAGTTTACATCTCACAAAATTTGCAATTAAACCTTCTGTGGCAGAATTGGTGGACTGTACAGCAGGTTTATTATTTCCAGAATAGTGCTTTGGAACATAGGGTAAGGGATTCTACACTTTGTTGTTTTTTTTTAAAAAAAAAAAAAAAAAGTTCAAATGATGTGCATTAAATCGTTTATTAAAAACATAAATATCCTTTGAAAATAAATGGAAATGAACTTCATTAATAAACTAAAATGCTATTTGGAGGTGACATCTGCACTGAGGTTTGGCATACAGAGACTGCAAAACTCTTAATAATTCAGAAAGACTAAAGGCACAGAGTCTCACTCAGAGCGTACGCTATGCATCACAAACGTAGAACCAGTCTAAATTCATCAACTGCTGGGAAGAAATTCGGTGATCCTTTCCAACGAGATGGCGTTTTTTTTCATTCTGTAGGCTACCCCCAAAGCAAGCTTACTTTGGGGGGAACACATCTCACGCCTGGGAAACACCAGGGGCAGGTAGGTCGACAGCCTCCTAAAGAGGACGGAAATACGGACAGCGCTGCGAACCGCCGAGGAAGCGATGGGCTGGCCCTGAGCCAGGGGCACAGCCGGGCGCACGCAGGGCCACCTCCCGGCTCCCGCCCGAGACCGGCACCCCACTCGGCATCCCGCGCGCACCGCTCGGCTCCCGACTCTCCCACCTGCGAAAGTTTGCACCTCCGCATCCCCGCCCCTCACACCGACCGAGCCCCTCCGGTCACCGCGCCGTCGCCATGGCGACCGGTCCCCACCCCACCCCGAGGCGGCCCGGGCGGGCCGCGCCGCAGTCCCGCGGCGGCCTCGGGCTCCGCTCCCGCAGGAGCCAGGACGGGGCCGGCGGGCCGGGAGAGGAGGAACGCCGCGGGCAGGGGGGGATGGAGAGGTGCGAGAAGCGGAAGTCGCCCGGCTCTCCCGCTGGGGCCAGGCCTCGCTCCGGGGGTTCTCACCCTTCACTTTGCCAAAGGTGCCGACCCCGAGCGTGTCGCCCAGGATGTAGTGACCGATCTTCACCCGCCCGTCGTGTTTCTGCTTCTCGGCTGTCGCCATCTTCCTCCAGGAACTGAGTCTGCGCACGGCGCCGCGGGAGGGGGCGGAGGGGGCGGGCAGGGGGCGCCGGGCGGGCGGGAGGGTGGGACGCGGGCGGGCTGCGGCGGAGCGGAGCCGCCGCCTGCGCCACCGCCGGGGCCGCGGCCGCCGTCGGGCTCGGACACCGCCCCGGCGGGGCGGGCGGGGGTCGCGGGAGAGGCGGGGTGCTCTTCCGCCGCGCCTCCAGCCCGGCCCCCGCCCACCTGCGTGCGCGCGGGAGAGGCCGCCGGGGCTGCTGAGGAGGGCGGGCGCCCGGCTCGCTTCGCCCGGGGGTTTCTGCTCACGGTGCCCCCCCATTAGCGCCCTGGGCGGGAGGAGACCCCTCGCCTTGTGCTGCAGAGCGAGGCGGTGGGCGCCGGGAGCGCGCTCGGGCAGTGCAGACCTGAGCTGCTTGGGAGCGCAGCGCGAATTGAAACATGGCAGGGGACACTGCCTTGCCACTGTTTCTAACCTTGGTTCTCATCTTTCCTTCTCGGATGGAACCTAGTATAGACGCCGCATGGAGTCTTCGCTTGCGTCTTCGATGGAGTTTCTCGCCCTCCTCCCAGCTTCCCCCCTCCACACGCTCTTTTTTTACTTTGAGGGCAGTAAGTTGCTATCGGGCACCGTGGCGGTTCTAGCGGCGTAGTCGCCCTTTTCTCCTGGACGCTATCCTGAAATTTCCTCCCCAAAGCAAGATCTGTTGCAAGGAGCAGCCTGGGAATGTGTGAATGGATGTGTGCTCGGGGAGGGGGTCCTTTTTGATGTATAGGAGTTAATATTTTAGATTATCAATACACTTTCACTGGATTGAAAACAAGGTTTACAGTTGCATCAGCCAACTCAATAGACAAATTTACTGTACGCGTAATGAGTAAGACTTAGTCTATTATCTGTATAAATGACTATACAGATAGCCATTTATAAAATTAAAGTATGCTTATCTGTAATAGAATGTTTGAGTTTTTTACTCAATTCCACTCCTCTAACAGTAGGCAAAACCAAGTGTTCCAATCAAAAAATATATTAATAATAAGTTTATAGTCTCTCAGTTTGGCAGTGTCATAGCCTTTGGTCCAGTGTCAATGGGCAAAAAATTGTACCGTTCACGAAAACATAAAAAAGTAAAAGACTTAAGAAGTCGCTTCACTTCCCAAAGAAAATCAGTTACCTAACTCTCTTGATTTTCTCCTTTCTGTTTATGAAATCAAATGACAAGCATTATGTATTATTTTGCTCCAAGGGAAGTATTGCAGGGAAAGCAAAATTTTGCCTCTGAGCTTAGAATTACACTAAATAAGCAGAGAACAGTCCCAACTAGCCTTGAATCATCAAATTCCTCCAGTATTATGGACTACATATTTTTTAAAGAACAAATAGTTAAATCTTTGATTACTGATATGTTTGGGGGGCAGGCAGGTGTTATTGTAACTTTTGCTGTCTGACTTCTTCACCTTTACCTGTTTGCCTTGTGTATTTCTGCATCTCAGGCTTTTTGGATCTCTACAGAGCAAAAATAGCTCTTTGGATTCTCTTAAGGAAAGAGAAAAACTTTAACTTCCTGCTAACCTGCCACCTCCAATATAGCATCTTACGTTACTTTAAATTTGTATCATGTCTGGAATTTAGCCCAGGAAGGCTCTGTTATTTTTTTTAACCTACAAGAAAAAATCACAAGTTACCTCAGCTTGGTACAGTGCCAATTAAGCCACTGAACATCTTGCAAGGGAGTAAACTGAAGCTAAATTTTGCCAATCCATTTGCCAATCTCTTCATGAAACTGAAGACTCAAGAAATTAAACTTTTTTTAAAAGAAACATCAGTTTGTTTCTGCTTTGTAATATTGTAGATTATAATTATATTTAATAAGTGGTCATTAAATGCCATATTCCCTTAAAAGCATTGTTGAGGAAATAAAACCTAGAATTAGAGATCAAAAAAATTGGAAGTCATCTTTTCCATTTTCCTTGTAGTCTCTGTTTAAGCAGCTTCAACTGCTTGGTTTTTTTGTTTTTGTTTTCTCTCCTTATGCTGAGTTGAAAACTGAATCCAATTCACTGTTTTTAAAACAGTACATAATAAGCCTCCTCTATTCCTTCACTTTTTCTCTTTCCTTCATGCCTTTTTAAAATTTTTTGTCACATTTTCTTCCACCCTCTCTTCCTTTCATTTTCCCATTAATCTGTCTCCAAACCTTCACTTTCTTCTTTCTTCAAACATTTGTTAACTGTTTGACACTATGGAAAATTTCCTTTTTCAAAAAAATGAAAAGTCAAGGTTCCTACCCTGAAGAAGCTCATGGTCTAGTCTATATTTCAGCACACCCCCCTCACAACCAGGACAGATAATATTCACATGCTCAGCATTCTTGCAGGGTGGAAGCAAAGATAAGGAAGACTGTGGCTTACACCCAGTTTCCTGACCTATCATTTGTAACTCTACCCCTATCTCTGCAAAATATATTGAAATATAAGTGTACGGGAGTGACATTATATAAGTAACCTGACTCCACTCTATTTTAACGGGGGGAGGAGGGGTGAGTAAATTGTTTGCAAACTTCAGTATTTCCACTTTTATTAGTACAAATAAGTTACAGTGCATCCCAGTGCTGACGAAGACATAGCAAGATGACTCGACACTATGGTGTAGAACCTCCAGTCTCATGGAGGAGCCCTTAGTTAGTTGTCAGCTACTTCCTTTCTAGCCCTTTAGACATTCTAAGAGAGCTTTGCCTCCTCAGTCTTTTCTTCTTAAGGCCATCATGGCATTGCTAGACTCCACAGTGTCAGGTGGATGTTACGTTTCCTCAATATCTATCTATAAATATGATGGCTGGAACTAAAAATTCTGAGTACTTCACTGCTATTAACACAGCCTAATATTTCCTTAGCTTAGTTGTAGTTACATTGTAACATACATGTGTATATATATATATATGTGTGTGTATGTGTATATATATATATACACATATATATTTTTAAGAGAGAATCTGTCTACATTGACCAGTATTTAAAGTAAAAAATATTTTAGAAAGTAATAAATTTAAGAGAGAGAGAGAAAGATCTGTCACCCAGACTGGAATGCAGTGGCACCCATAGCACACTGCAGCCTCTAACTCCTGGGCTCCAGTGATCCTCCTGCCTCAGCCTCCTGAGAAGCTGGGACTATAGGTGTGAGCTACCATGCCCGACTGTAACTAATATTTTATGTTTATTAAACAAAAACTATGTATTGGATAGTGTGCTAGATCCTGGGCACTTAAAAAACAAAAGAACACAGTATCTCCCTTCAGGTGGCAAACAGAGCAACGTGGTAAGTGCTACAGTAAAAATACATATATGATTCTAAAGGGCATTATGAGAAGGGGGTATAACCTTTATCTGTGGAGGTCTACCAAGACTTTATCTTATTTTGAATATGTTTATGGAAGAGCATTAAGAGATGACGTTTTCAGCTGGTGCGGGCAGCTCAAGCCTGTAATCCTAGCACTCTGGGAGGCCGAAGCAGGAGGATCGCTCAAGGTCAGGAGTTTGAGACCAGCCTGAGCAAGAGCAAGACCGTCTCTACTATAAATAGAAAGAAATTGGCCAACTAAAATATATAGAAAAAATTAGCTGTGCATGGTGGCACATGCCTGTAGTCCCAGCTACTCAGGAGGCTGAGGCAGCAGGATTGCTTGAGCCCAGGAGTTTGAGGTTGCTATGAGCTAGGCTGATGCCATGACACTCACTCTAGCCTGGGCAACAGGGCGAGACTCTGTCTCAAAAAAAAAAAAAAAAAGAGATGACGTTTTCTATTGAAAGAAAAGAGTGGCATGGGGATGGAGGGAACTGGGGAAAGGCATTTCAGGTAGGGAAAGAGCATATGGAAAGTCAGGGAGGTAAGACTTAGACTGTTTAGGGAAGAGCTAGTTATTAAGGAGCTGGAATCTGGATATTAAAATAAATGAGAGGGAAATAAGACTAAATCCTGAAAGCCCTCATGTGCTTCTCAATTTGTACATTATCTTGTAGAGACTGAGAAGACGTGAAGTAGATGCATTTTAGAAATATATTCTTCTCTCAAGGAATTGGTAGCTATGGGCACCTTTGGGAAGTGAAACCAGGTAACTAAGAGTCACATACAAGGGGCAGTCTGTTCCCTTGCTTCCCTTTATAACTTTATTATTGTTATTTTATTTTATTTTTGAGACAGAGTCTGGCTCTGTTGCCCAGGCTAGAGTACCGTGGCGTCACCCTAACAGCAACTTCAATCTCCTGGGCTTAAGCAATCCTCTTGCCTCAGCATCCCGAGTAGCTGGGACTACAGGCATGCGCCACCATGCCCAGCTAATTTTCTTCTATATATATTTTTAGTTGTCCAGGTAACTTCTTTCTATTTTTTTTCTTTTTATTCTTTTTATTTTTTTTTATTTCTATTTTTTTAGTAGAGACGGGGTCTTGCTCTTGCTCAGGCTGGTCTCAAACTCCTGACCTTGAGCAATCCTCCCACTTTGGCCTCCCAGAGTGCTAGGATTACAGGCTTGAGCCACCGCCCCTTTGTAACTTTTGATTTTGAACCTTACACATATATTACTACAGAATCAAAAAAAAATAACTTTTAGAAAAAATTTTAAAACTCTGACTTTTGTGTGGAGGAGAACAAGATCAAAGTGGTGAGAAAACAGGAGATTGCAATCACCTAGTGAAGAAAATGGTGAGGCAGGCACCATGTATGAAAAGGAAAAACTCAAGACCTGTTTAGAAGGTGGAATCAGCACGGCACACAGATTGATGTGGAGAGAGAGGGAAAGGAAGAAAGCTTAATTACCTATCAGGTTTCTGGTGGGATTTGAGGGAAATGGTGAATGGGAGTTCAATTGAAATAGTGAATTCCATATGTAACATTAAGGCATCTAGAAGACATTCAGGTAAAGATATCCATGATGATACTGGTAATACAGGGCTACAGCATCAAACTGAAGTCAGTCTA